GATTGAACACATCATGGAGGTAAGATACATAAGGATTAGTGGTGTATGTGTGCGTGTGTGTATGTGTGTATAGAAGGAGATGGAAGTACAACAAACTTCATTAGATTGAACACATCATGGAGGGAAGACACAAGGATTAGTGGGGTGTGTGTGGGTGTGTGTGTACAGAAGGAAATGGCAACCCACTCTAATATTCTTGCCTGGGAAATCCCATGGACAAAGAAGCCTGGCAGGCTACAGTCCATGGGGTCACAAGAGTCAGAGACGACTTAGAACTAAACCACCACTTGTTTCAACTGGAAGCAAGTAAACAAAATATAAACTTCTCAAGGTCCTAGGAAGACTTCCTTTGATTAAAAGATCTGAGGATAAATTTTAGTCATTTTATAATATTCTGAATTTCCACATCACACCACCTATATGCAAAGATTAAAAAAAAAAAAAACTTCAAAACCAAATACAAACCATTTTCTGGAAGATCCAAGTGACTGTCTCTTGTAACAATGAAGAACTAAACATCTATATAACACGGTTTTGAGAATCTAAACCTTAGTCACCCAAAGATGACTTTACCAGCTAGAATTTATAACACTCTTTAACAAATTATTCCAGAATCTTAATAATTCTTTTTCTTACCAAAAAAAAATTAAAATGATAACCAGAAATAGAAGAGTTAATGTTATCCTATTCTCCCACAACTCCATTTACAAATGTACCGTATCACAAAATACAAAGCCACTTTCTACTATCATTCTGCTACTAAGCATAGTATGTCAAGTTTAAATGTACAAAATACATTTTGCCTAAAATAAATGATGTAAACAAATTGAAAAGTGCATATAAGAATAAACTAGGTAATATCTAGTAATATTAAAACCTATTGAAAGAAGTGTGTCGGTCCAATAGCAATTGGTGTCTTACTCCCCACACCACGATCTCAGTTTTCTCCCAATATAAAGGTTTATTGGAGAAAAAGGGGACCTGATTCCATCTCTGGTGCAGGGAAAGAAAGTTCAAGGAAAGCCTGGAACATGTACTGTGCCAGTAAGCTAGTGATATAAAAGAACACTAAAGTTACATCAGGAGGACAAGCAGACAATTTAAAAGGGCCTCCACCAGCCAAAAAGTGGAAATTTTAGCATAAAAAGAATAACTGAAATGGATTGAAAGAAAACATATAAAAATCCATGATCTCATAGTGATACTCAAAACAGAAAAACAGCTCACTATTCACATAAGGGCACAACTTGTTATTTTGAAAATTGGTAAATAAACAGGGAAAAAAATCAGGTCTTTATCCAGCCCTTCTTGTAGTAACTATCATTTCAGAAGAAACAAATGGCTGATGAAATAAAATTCTACTCTGTAGAATAATTCAAATTCAGAAATTTGGAAGGAATAAAAGAATCAGAAATATTTTACAACCCCATGGAAACAGTGGATGAAGACAACGTACTCCATCAGCAACAATAACGACATGGATTCCATTGAGCCACTAGGTCTAACTACAAGTTCACAGGAAATGTGGAGGATAGAGGAACATGTTAAACAACACTACAAGGATGCACTCAGCCAAATCCAGATGTGGACTGCTCTAGCAAACTAAGAACTTCATTTCTCAACAAATAAACAGCAATGCCAAAATTAAAAAAAAAAAAAGGAGGGGGAACTCATGTATATTAAGAGATACTTAAGAAAGATGTCAACTAAATGCAAAGTGCTGACTGTGCATGTGAATCTTTATTTTAAAAACTCAATGTATAACCCTATATGCAAAACATAAAAAGAGACTCAGATGTATAGAACAGACTTGTGGACTCTGTGGGAGAAGGCGAGGGTGGGATGTTTCAAGAGAACAGCATCGAAACATGTATATTATCTAGGGTGAAACAGATCACCAGCCCAGGTTGGATGCATGAGACAAGTGCTCGGGCCTGGTGCACTGGGAAGACCCAGAGGGATCGGGTGGAGAGGGAGGTGGGAGGGGGGACCGGGATGGGGAATACATGTAAATCCATGGCTAATTCATTTCAATGTATGACAAAAACCACTGCAATGATGTAAAGTAATTAGCCTCCAACTAATAAAAATAAATGGAAAAAAAAAAGAAATCTAAAAAAAAATAAATAAATAAAAACTCAATGTAAAAAGAGTATTTTTAAGACAATAGGAGAAATTAAATACTGGCTGCTAGATTTTATATGGTATTGAGAAATAATTTTCTTAGGTGTTTAAGACTACAGTGTTTATGTCATTAATAAAGGAATTCCCTAATGTAAATTATGGACTTTAGTTAACAATAATGTTAATACTGTTTCACCAACTGTAACAAATATACTACACTAATGCAAGATGTTAATAACAGAGGAAACTGTAGATGGGGACTCTGCACTTCCTGCTCAGTTTTTCCTGTAAACCTAAACCAGTTCTAAAAAAGTAAAGTTTACTAATTTAAAAAAAAAAGAAAAACTGGAACATGGGCTTCCTCTCCAATCCATTCTTAAAACTGGTCACCTGAAGAGTTTCCACAGTGTTATTATTTCACTTTTTCAATAATGTAGATTCTCCCAAATTTTCCTAATGTTTAACATAAACTACCTCTAATATATTCTCATATCATTCTTTTTTTTTTTTGGTAGGGAATAAGTGACTAAGGCTTTCTTTGTTCCAATAAATATAAATTAATACACTCACAAAGTCATTAATCATCAACAAAGTTCTTATAAAGCAATGTCTGGCAAATTTTTATTATTTCCAGCAAAATGCTAAGGCCTTCGTGCTTTAGGGTCAATGAGAAAGGAATATGCTAGTAATGAGAATTATGCATGAGCTGAGGAATTGTGATGTACAGGAAAAGACAGAGAAAAAGGAGAATGGAAGAATTCAGGAAAAGAGATTATGAGAATTTTGAAAAGGGGGACTGATTTATCAAAAGGAACAAAACTTATGGTTCAGGATAAATTCATCATAAAGTATCACTTTATGTTAAAAAAAATCCTATACAAGTTATCAAAAATTGAACAATAATTTTAAACCAACTAGTCCTATAAAGGGCTAACCTCTGGTTATATACCTTTTCCTTACACATATAGCCTTTTTATTGGGGTCACTGAGTAAGAAAATCATTATGACAACAGACAGGCGAGAACGAGAAGTTCAGCTCCATTAAAAGGTTCTCAAAGGGTCTAGATTCCAAAGCACTTACAACAAAAAGAATTTATGAGGCTTTTGCCATACACTGACATGAATCAGCTTAAGTATCCAGAAGGCATGGTTAGAAAGTCAAGAAAAGAAAGTCAAGGGCTGCCCATTGAAATACAGACCAACTAAAAGCAGGTAAGAAAAAGATTTTAGGTAATAGTATGAAAGACGAAATAAGAAGGAAAGGAGAGACTCAGCATCCAAGGATCTCCAATTCACCCATTAAAAGGTACTAAAACTGTTCTTTAAGCTTTATCACATAGAATCTTGAGTAAACCATGGCCAAAATAGGCAGGAGAACTTGCTGAAAGGGCTATAAAGCTGTATCCTGCCTCACCTGGAAACATTTCCTTAGGACCAAGTAGGAGAAAGACAGGTGAAGCAGCATTGTCCAAGCCAAGCTGATATTAACACATCCTTTATGGACTTGGCTGAGAGTAAAACAGATCACTTGGGATCTGTGCAAGCCAGAAGAGAGAGCTCTAGCTGCACCTGTTTGTTCACATCACTGAGATGCAAACAGCTCAAAATAAACATGGAAGAACAGAAAAAGTGACGAAAAGAGAGCACCATCCTTTTCTCTATTCTTCCTTCTCTAATCATCTATTTTTTTAAGTAGTTACAATGGGTGCTGATCTATCCACTGTCTTCCTGATTTTCCATGTTTTGGGAAAGCTAAGTTTGGCCTTAAAACAACTATTAAACAGATCTATAACTGTATTAGCATCATACTCTTAAAAAATGAGTCAATTAGTAGAAAAAAACTTGGAACAATGAGAAAGCTTAAGGCAAAGGGCAGTGATTAAAACAGTAGATGCTGCCAGAATACATAATACACACTGCATTAACTTAACAGAAACTAATTTACTAAAATTCCAAACATCAGTGATTCACAAAGATAGCACATTCACCCTAGAGAATATACAGCTGTGAATCTGAGGGTCCTAAGCTACATAGCATTTTGTCCTTTCTATTTCTACCAACTAGTTATTTCTACCAACTATAGCAACTTCCTTTGCTCTGTATGTTAATACTAAATGCCTTTAGACACTAATGAATGTCCCATAGCAATATCAACCCTCTAGAGTTTAATAACATCATTCAGTGTGCTAATCACATCTCTATTTAATTTTGATCCAGAAAAAATATTTAAATATCAGTAATATCAGATTACGTCATTAACTGAAAATACAAAGATGCATCAAACTGGCCATATATTAAGGGTTTTATATAACTAGAATGGAGTCAGAAAAAAAGTTATTTATCCTTGTAGTAAAATTAATAGGGACTCAAGTAGTAACACGGACCTCAAAAATGATGGCCAGGGCCAGAAAGGAGTTATTTGATGAAATTGAAGCTAAAGAAATCAACATGCAACAAATATTATTATTTTTTATCCACCCTTCAATGTGATTTGAAGGCAGCTTTCTTGATGTGATTAAAGCATGTTTAACATCCAAAAACACAAGAAGAAACAACTCAGAGGTGTTTATGTTTGGTTATTTTTAAAAAAGGTAAATTTTACCATAACAGACATTATGTAAACACTTACTAATGCAGAATGTTTCAGGTAATTCACTCCCTCTTATCCTTACTCACCATGAAAAGAAATTCCCGAAGTCCAACTATTCTAAGCAATCAGTATTTCTACAATTACTAGCTAGCAATAAAATGTCCAAGAGAAAAATGCTCAGCATGATTACACTTAGTTGAAACCAGAATATTCAACTGATAAAGAATGTAACTTGAGGTTCAAAGACAATAATAAATTGTTTGGTATATCATACAAAGCAGCTTACCTTGTAGTTTTTTCAATACAGCAACCTCCATTTTCAGAACTTGCTTTGGTTGCTGAGCGGATTCCACCTTCAGTGCAACATTTTCCCTGGTGAGCAGGTCCAAGGCATCGTAAATTTCTCCAAAGCCCCCACCCCCAATCTTCCTCAACTGCATGGGAAATAAAATAAGAACACATACACACACACAATTAATAGAAGATTCTAATTAGAAGTTGATTCATCTCTTATATTTACAAAATAACATATAATTGACTATTCCTATTTTATGCTAAAAGATCTCAATATTATTAATTGAGCATATGCCAAGAATGAATACTTAGAAATAATGTCAAAATTTTTTCCCACAGATTTGTCCACAAGAAGTACTGAATTTATTTCAGCCACAAACAATTTTAAAATTAGGTGTATAGCCAGCATCAGAAACATCATAAAAGACACAGTATCTGAAGCTTCACTTCCCACATACAACTCTCAACCACCAGATCTGTTCTAATTCTAAGGCAATCATCTGAAGACGTTTTAAATCCCTAAAATCTTTTTTTACCAACTGAAAGCTCCTCTGGAACCGGACTGGGATGTGTCTGTGGGGAGGCTGGAGGTGGGACAGGCCACCAGAGCCCAGTCCTCTCAGCACCACGTACCCGCCTCTCGGAGGCACTGCATAGCTACAGAGAACACAGCCCTGAAGGGAGGTCCTAGAAAACGGGCCGGCAGCTTGGGGTTAAGGGAACGAAGGACCCCACGGCACCAAACAAGTCATTTGGAGGTGGCCCCTCCAAAGCTCAAGCCTGCTAGCTGCCACACAGCTAAGAAATAAAAACCATCTAGGCAGAACTCTTTAAATTCCTAATCCACAGACTGTGATCAAAATAAATGATCGTTTTAAGCCTCTAAATTTTGATGTAGCTTGTCATTGGGTTGGTCAAAAACTTCATTTGGGTTCTTCCATAAGATGTAACAGAAAAATCCAAATGAATCTTTTGGTCAACTCAATGAATAACAGATAACCAAAACACCATCCTTAACAATGAGCCTGTAATTTTTTTTTACTAAGAGGCCACTATGTCACTCAAATTTGGCAGACATGCTCCACATGTATATTGGCTCTCATTATCAGGACAGAGCAACTATGCCAGGCATAGCTGCATTTGTCACCTTTTGATATGTCCAATGGAGAACTGCCAACCTTTACCATAGCACTTAACACAAAGCTCTCACCAAAGCAACACACGTGCCTGACTTATATAAAGATTACCAACTGCTGGAATCTCCCTGCACCAGCCATGATGATGACAAGGTTCTTTCCTATGTTTACTCAAGTAAATTTTCAAAGTCTACTGCTTTGCTAATAAGTAAAACACTGTACCATAAAAACAAAATTTTTATTTCTAAAAGAAGAATCTTTTTTTTGCAATCTGTTGACAGACTAAGGAAACAACTGAATAGCTTGGCTAAACTTGCCAGTGGAACAAAATCTTGGTTAACAAAAGACCAGGTAGCAATAAAACATATTTAAATATATCCAAAAGAAAAATAGCTTCTTTACTGGAAGAAAGAGAGCAGATTCTGAGTCCAGGGCAAGGAAGGCATCAAAAGACTATAAGTATCCTTTTAAAGACTCAGGAGACAACATGAAGGAAATCTGTTTAGTCAAATGAGACAATTTGAACATCAATAGCAATGATAACTACAACAGACTGAAACATGTGAAATACGCTAAAATCCATGAATTCTTAATTATAATTTAAAAAATCTCACTGGTCACTTTCAGAAGATGCTCAGTTCAGTTCCGTTCAGTAACTCAGTTGTGTCCAACTCTTTGCGACCCCATGGACTACAACACACCAGGCCTCCCTATCCATCACCAACTCCTAGAGTTTACTCAAACTTGTGTCCATTGAGTCGGTGATGCCATCCAGCCATCTTATCCTCTGTTGTCCCCTTCTTCTCCCGACCTCAATCCTTCCCAGCATCAGGGTCTTTTCCAATGAGTCAGTTCTTCACACCAAGTGGCCAAAGTATTGGAGTTTCAGCTTCAACATCTATCCTTCCAATGAATGTTCAGGACTGATTTCCTTTAGGATGGACTGGTTGGATCTCCTTGCAGTCCAAGGGACTCTCAAGAGTCTTCTCGAACACCACATTTCAAAAGCATCAATTCTTCGGTGCTCAGCTTTCTTTATAGTCCAACTCTCACATCCATATGTGACTAATGGAAAAACCGTATCTTTGACTAGATGGACCTTTGTCAGCAAAGTCATGACTCTGCTTCTTGATACATTATCTAGGTTTGCCATAACTTTTCTTCCAAAGAGCAAGCATCTTTTAATTTCATGGCAGCAGTCATCATCTGCAGTGATTTTGGAGCCCACGAAAATAAAGTCTTTCACTTTTTCCATTGTTTCCTCATCTATTTGCCATGAAGTGATGGGACCAGATGCCATGATCTTAGTTTTCTGAATGCTGAGTTTTAAGTCAACTTTTTACTCTCCTCTTTCACTTTCATCAAGAGGCTCTTTAGTTCTTCTTCGCTATCTGCCCTAAGGGTAGTGTCATCTGCGTATCAGAGGTTATTGATATTTCTCCCAGCAACCATAATTCCAGCTTGTGTTTCATCCAATCCAGCGTTTCTCATGATGTACTCTGCATATAAGCTAAATAAGCAGGGTGACAATATACAGCCTTGACGTACCCCCTTTCCCAATTTGGAACCAGTCTGTTGTTCCATGTCGAGTTCTAATTGTTGCTTTTTGACCTGCATACAGATTTCTCAGGAGGCAAGTCATGTGGTCTGGTATTTCCATCTCTTTCAGAATTTTCCACAGTTTGTTGTGATCCAGAGAGTCAAAGGCTTTGGCACAGGCAATAAAGCAGAAGTACATGTTCTTCTGAAACTCTCTTGTTTTTTTGATGATCTGATGGATGTTTGCAATTGATCTCTGGTTCCTCTGCCTTTTCTAAATCCAGCTTGATCATATGGAAGTTCACGGTTCAAGTATTGCTGAAGCCTGGCTTGGAGAATTTTGAGCATTACTTTGCTAGCCTGTGAGATGAGTGCAATATTGCAATAGTTTGAGCATTCTTTGGCACTGCTTTTATTTAGGACTGGAATGAAAACTGACCTTTTCCAGTCCTGTGGCCACGGCTGAGTTTCCCAAATTTGCTGACATATTGAATGCGGCACTTTCACAGCATCATCTTTTAGGATCTGAAATAGCTCAACTGGAATTCCATCACCTCCACTACCTTTGTTCGTAGTGATGCTTCCTAAGGCCCACTTGACTTCACATTCCAGGATGTCTGGCTGTTAGGTTGGTGATCACACCATCGTAATTATCTGGGTCGTGAAGATCTTTTTTGTATAGTTCTTCTGTGTATTCTTGCCACCTCTTCTTAATATCTTCTGCTTCTGTTAGGTCCATACCATTTGTTTCCTTTATTGTGCCCATCTTTGCACCAAATATTCCCTTGGTATCTCTGATTTTCTTGAAGAGATCTGTAGTCTTTCCCATTCTATTCTTTTCCTCTGCTTCTTTGCACTGATCACTGAGGAAGGCTTTCTTATCTCTCCTTGCTATTCTTTGGAACTCTGCATTCAAATGGGTGTATCTTTCCTTTTCTCCCATGCCTTTTGCTTCTCTTCTTTTCATAGCTGTTTGCAAGGCCTCCTGAGACAGCCATTTTGCCTTTTTGCATTTCTTTTCCTTGGGGATGGTCTTGATCAGTGCCTCCTGTACAATGTCACCAACCTCCATCCATAGTTCTTCAGGCATTCTATCTATCAGATCTAATCCCTTGAATCTACTTGTCCCTTCAAATGTAAGGGATTTGATTTAGGTCATACCTGAATGGTTTAGCGGTTTTCCTTATTTTCTTCAATTTAAGTCTGAATTTGGCAATAAGGAGTTCATGATCTGAGCCACAGTCAGCTCCAGGTCTTGGTTTTGCTGACTGTATAGAGAGAGCTTCTCCATCTTTGGCTGCAAAGAAGATAATCAATCTGATTTTGGTGTTGACCATCTCGTGATGTCCATGTGTAGAGTCTTCTCTTGTGCTGTTGGAAGAGGGTGTTTGCTATGACCAGTATGTTCTCTTGGCAAAACTCTATTAGCCTTTGCCCTGCTTCATTCTGTACTCCAAGGCCAAACTTGCCCGTTACTTCAGGTATTTCTCTACTTTTGCATCCCAGTCCCCTATAATGAAAAGGACATCTTTTTTGGGTGTTAGTTCTAGAAGGTCTTGTAGGTCTTCATAGAACTGTTTTCAACTTCAGCTTCTTCAGCATTACTGGTCGGGGCATAGACTTGGATTACTTTGATACTGAATGGTTATCCTTGGAAATGAACAGTGATCATTCTGTTGTTTTTGAGATTGCATCCAAAAGATTGGACTCTTTTGCTAACTATGATGGCTACTCCACTTCTTCTAAGGGATTCTTGCCCACAGTAGTAGATATAATGGTCAGCTGAGTTAAATTCACCCATTCCAGTCCATTTTAGTTCACTGATTCCTAAAATGTCAATGTTCACTCTTGCCATCTCCTGTTTGACCACTTCCAATTTGCCTTGATTCATGGACCTAACATTCCAGGTTCCTAGGCAATATTGCGCTTTATAGCATCGGACTTTACTTCCATCACCAGTCACAACCACAAATGAGTGTTGTTTTTGCTTTGGTTCCATCTCTTCATTCTTTCTGGAGTTATTTCTCCACTGATCTCCAGTAGCATATTGGGTACCTACTGACCTGGGGAGTTCATCTTTCAGTGTCTTATCTTTTTGCCTTTTCATACTGTTTTTGGGGTTCTCAAGGCAAGAATACTGAAGTGGTTTGCCATTCTCTTCTCCAGTGGACCATGTTTTGTCAGAGTTTTGTCAGAACTCTCCACCATGACCCGTCCATCTTGGGTGGCCCTACAGGGCATGGCTCATAGTTTGATTGCATGAGACAAGGCTGTGGTCCATGTGATCAGATTGGTTAGTTTTCTGTGACTGTGGTTTCAGTCTGTCTGCCCTCTGATGGAGAAGGATAAGAGGCTTATGGAAGCTTCCTGATGGGAGAAACTGACTGAGGGGGAAACTGGGTCTTGTTCTGATGGGCGGGGCCATACTCAGTGAATCTTTAAGCCAATTTTCTGTTGAAGGGTGGGGCTGTGTTCCCTCCCTGTTATTTGACCTGAGGCCAAACTATGGTGGAAGTAATGAAGATAATGCGACCTCCTTCAAAAGGTCCCATGCAAGCACTGCTACTGTCAGTGCCCCTAACCCTGCAGCAGGCCACCACCACACCTCCGCCAGAGACTCCTAGACACTCACAGGCAAGTCTGGGTTAGTCTCTTGTGGGGTCACTGCTCCTTTCTCCTGGGTCCTTGTGCGCACACTGTTCTGTTTGTGCCCTTGCAGAGTTTGTTTCCCCAGTCCTGTGTAAATTCTGGTGGCTCTATGGTGGGTTAATGGCGATGTCCTCCAAGAGGGCTTATGTCATACCCAGGTCTACTGCACCCAGAGCCTCTGCCCCTGCAGCAGTCCACTGCTGACCTGTACCTCCTCAGGAGACACCCAAACACAGTTCTGCCTCAGTCTCTGCGGGGTCTCTGGGTCCTGGTGTGCACAAGGTATGTTTGAGCCCTCTGAGCATCTCTGGAGGGTATGGGGTTTGATTCTGATTAGCATCAGAAGATGCTAGGGAACCAATTTATTATTTTGAAAACTGGTAAATTAAAAAAAGAATCAAGCATTTATCCTGTATTCCTAGTCAAACTGTATCTCAGGGTAATCAAATAGTTAATGATGCAAAATTTCTCTTCATAGATGTACTTCAACTAATAAATGAAGGAATGATAGAAGATCACCAATCTGCCATCCCTTTGAATTAACAGACCTAGACAATGATGATCAGTAGTGCTAACAAAATGATGTGCAATAAGATATTATGTGCCTCCCATCCAAAGTTAACAGTACGCTTTATGGGTAAAAAAAAAAAAAAAAGCCCCTACCTCAATAAACAAACCTGAAGTCAGATCTAATCATGCCTCTCTACATAACCAACAGTTTACATAAAATACACCAGACAGAGAATCATGTTAACATCATGTGGAAACAATAGAAAAACTATGTTTCAAACTATGGAAAATTCTACAAATAACCTAGTTTCTTCAAAAAATAAACTGCAAGAAAAAAAGAAAGATGAAAAGGAACTTAGAAATTAAAGGAAACTTAAGTGATGTCAACCAACTGAAACATCCAGACTTCACTTGGATTTGATTCAACTGTTAAAAAAACTTACAAAGCAATTAGGAAAATGTGAAAGTTGGAAGGATATCTAATGATATTAATGACAGTGCTTTACTGAATGTGATATTACGATTAAATTTTAAAAAGAACTCTATCTTTTAGAGATTATATACTGATGTGCATAGAGAAAAGTAAGGTAAAAGATGTGCTTCAAAATATTTGGGGAGAGATCTGTTTTTAAAGTTTAAAAACAACTGGGAAGTGAGATTACGCTTCCCGGGGTGAAAGGTTAGCAGAAGTGCCCTTTCTTGCTTTCTGCTGTAGTTCCGAGTGGTAGCTGCCTAAATGGGCAAGTTCATGAAACCTGGGAAGGTGGTGCTGGTCCTGGCCTGTCGCTACTCTGGACGCAAAGCGGTCGTCGTGATGAATATTGATGATGGCACCTCAGACTGACCCTATAGCCATGCTCTGGTGGCTGGAATTGATCCCTATCCCTGCAAAGTGACAGCTTCCATGGGCAAGAAGAAAATCACCAGGAGGTCAAAGATCAAGTCTTTTGTGAAAGTTGATAATTATAATCACCTCATGCCCACAAGGTACTCTGCAAATATCCCCTTGGACAAAACTGTCATCAACAAGGATGTCTTCAGAGATCCGCTCTCAAACACAGGGCCCCATGAGAGGCAGAGGTCAAGTTTGAGGAGAGATACAACACTGGCAAGAACAAATGGTTCTTCCAGAAGCTGCGGTTTTAGGTCTGTCCCAGTCATTAAAAATATTAAAAAAAAAAAAAAACTGGACTCTATGATGATCTTTTACTTTTATCTAGTTTGTTTCACTTTTTCTATTTCATATTCAGTGTTCCCATTTCATTTGGTATATTTTCCCATTTCTCCATCTCTGGTTTTTTTTATGTTCTTTCTCAAGCAAAGTATAGTAGAAAAGCTTTTGCATACACATATATATCTATATAGAGTATGTATAATACATATATTTTAGAAGACTTATGAATTTTTGCCCAGCTAAAAAATTCATGATATTTTGATTCCACTTGTCTGATTCAGTATGATAGGATGCTAGATTTCTAATTTATATTCTCTCAAAATTTTGATATAGTTCCATATATTTTGGCATCTAGTATTACTGCTAGACTCAGGTTCGATCCCTGTGTCAGGAAGATCCCCTGGAGAAGGAAATGGCAACCCACTCCAGTACTCTTGCCTGGAAAATCCCAAGAACAGAGGAGTATGGTAGGCTTACAGTCCATGGGGTCGCAAAGAGTCGGACACGACTGAGCGACTTCACTTTCACTTTTCTATTACTGCTAGAAGTATAGAAAGTTTATTATCTTAGTGATTTAAAAAAAAATGTGAATGAGGCTTGAAACGTCTAATTCTGAGAATATTAAGAAATATTATGCTGTCAAAAAAAAAACTCAGAAGTTAACAAGTGATACAGTATTATTAACTAACGTACAGATTTTGTTCAAATCTTCACAAAATTTTATGCTAGTGTCCATTATTTGTTTTCATACCTTATTTAAGACTCCACATTATATTTAAATGCATTTAGCAGCTTCAGTTGCATGCAACAGATTCTGGTAAATTGTTTTTTCATTTGTATTCTATTACAAATATTTTCTAATTTTCCATGTTACAGGTTCTTAGATATATCCCTCATTTAAAAGTGGATATTTAATTTCCAAATATATGGGATTTTTTAAAGTATCTTTGATATTAATTTCTCATTTAAATGCTTTCTTCTCTGCAATCACCTTCTATGTTTTTCAGTCTTCTAACTTTATTTTCAAATATCTTTTGATAGTTATTGCTAACCTAAATCCACAGAAATAAGAGAACAGATTCTGTATGATTTCTATATCTTTAAGACCATGAAATTTCTGCACTTGATCTTAAGTCTCTAGCTATGTTCCAGTGTTTCCTAGTTTATAGTCAATGGGAACTTCAACAGAATTTGTATCCTACTGTTGTGTGAAAACTGTATAAATATTAATTGCGTCAAACTGGTTTATAGTGCCTTTAAGGTATACTATATTCTACTTCTCTGTACAGTCATCCTATTAATTTCTGAGAGTTTCATATTAAAACTCCAACTAAAAACCTTAATTTATCTACTTAAATGACTAATATATGCTGGAACTATATGTAACTTTGTCCTGTATTTTCCAAGTCTCCTATAAATGTGTTATCATTTTTCATAATTTAAAAAATAAGAAAGAATAATTTTAAAATATTTTAGGAGAGAGGTTAAAGAGATGAAACAAGATTATCAATCTATAACTGTTTAAACTGGGCATGGGTACCTGGAAGTTCTTTATAACAGTCATGCTATTTTAACATATACTTAAAATTTTCCTTAATAAAATGTTAAAAAATAAAAAGGGCAGTTCATTACATTGTATTTTTTTCAATTGTTCTTTCCCTAAGTATACTTTTATTTACCTTACTCAATAGTAGCTATTAGAGGTTAGGAAAATTTACTACTGTAGGGAGCAAGAACAAGAATTAGGGTATAAACAGAACCTAATTATAGGAAAAGAAACAAAAGTAACTGCTTTAGGCATATAAGCAACATATGTATTATTTCCTAATGAAATGTTACTTTTATCAAGATACCAAAACCTCTTCCTTTCCCCCACCCTGCCCCTCTCTCTTCCTTATGTATACTTACTACTTTCCATCTTTCTTTGACCAGGATTCCAACACTGAGGATATCCGGCTGCTCTCCTCCTCCACTCATTGCAATTCACTGATGTGGTAGAATGGCTACACAGGCATCCGGCTCCCAAGGGTGGTTTCCATTTAACCTGAAACAAAAGAAACAGGAGCAGCATATCAGGACTAACTAATTAACACAAACATTTCACCACCCAGAAGTACTACTAATCCTATACATTAATTAGGTTGCTTGGCTGGAAAGGGGAAAAATCCCAAATCTCAGTTCTAAAATCTGTTTAATGCACATAAAAAAGTACTTACAAAGCTCAGTAAAATAACCAAACATTAAAGAGGCATTATATTAAAAGTAAAGTCTCTCAGTCGTGTCTGACTCTCTGTTGGTACAAAAGTAATTCTAGTTTCAGACCAGGAATTTTAAATCATTGTATCTAGGCTCAAACACATTTTTCTTAATCAAAATAGGAATCATTACAATCAACACATTTTTGTCAATTAAGAAATAAGTTGGTTTATTCCTGTAGTGTAAAAATCTGTGCTTCAGGATTTGACAAACTCTTGGAAAGCATTTTCTGCCTCTTGCTGGCTGTGGAAGCATTTTCCGTGCAAAAAGTTGTCGAGAAATTTGAAGAAGTTAAAGTCGGTAGCCACTGGCAAGAGGTCAGGTGAAGATGGCAGATGAGGCAAACCTCCGTAGCCCAATTTGTTCAACTTTTGAAGCGCTTATTGTGCAACACACAGTCAGTAATCGTCGTGGAGAAGAACTGGGCCCATTCTGTTGACCAATACTGGCTGTAGGTGTTGCAGTTTTCGGTGCATCTCATCAGTGTGTTGAACATATTTCTCAGATGTAATGGTTTCGCTGGAATTCAGAAAGCTGTAGTGGAAAGGGGCAGCAGACACCACACAACGACCATGACCTTTTTTGGTGCGAGTTTGATTTGGGAAGTGCTTTGGAACTTCTTGGACCAACCACCAAGCTGGTCATCCCTGGCTGTAGTATAAAAGCCACTATTCATCACATACCACAATCCAATTGAAAAATAGTTCATTGTTGTTGCATAGAATAAAAGAACATGGACACTGCAAAACGACAATTTTTTTGATTTGCAGTCAGCTCATGAACAGTGACTGAACAACGTGAGACACCCACTCATTGAGCTTTTTCACCATTCCAATTTGCTTCAAATGCCAAATGACCACAGAATGGTCAATGTGGAGTTCTTCGGAAACTTCTTGCATAATTTTAAGAGGATTGTTTCCGATGATGGCTCCCAATTTATTGGTGTCAACTTCTGACGGACAGCCACTAAGCTCCTCATCTTCAAGGCTCTCGTCTCCTTTGCAAAATTTCTTGAACCACCACTGTACATTCATTAGCAGCTGCTGGGTCAAACGCATTGTTGATGTTGTGAGCTGTCTATGCTGCTCTATGACTCATTTTGAACACAAATTAAAAATAGCTTAAATTCACATTTTGTCTAACATCATTTCTATAGTCTAAAACAAATATAAACACCAAATAATAAATCATTTAAGTCTCTTAAATTGAATAAAGTGGGGAAAACCACTAAACCATTCAGGTATGACCTAAATCAAATCCTTTATGATTATACAGTGGAAGTGAGAAATAGATTTAAGGAACTAGATCTGATAGACAGAATGCCTGAATAACTATGGATGGAGGTTGGTGTACAGGAGACAGGGATCAAGATAATCCCCAGGAAAAAGAAATGCAAAAAAGCAAAATGGCTGTCTCAGGAGGTCTTACAAATAGCTGTGAAAAGAAGAGAAGCGAAAAGCAAAGGAGAAAAGGAAAGATATACCCATTTGAATGCAGAGTTACAAAGAATAGCAAGGAGAGATAAGAAAGCCTTTCTCAGGGATCAATGCAAAGGAATAGAGGGAAACAATAGAATGGGAAAGACTACAGCTCTCTTCAAGAAAATCAGAGATACCAAGGGAACATTTCACGCAAAGATGGGCTCAATAAAGGACAGAAATGGTATGGACCTCACAGAAGCAGAAGATATTAAGAGGTGGCAAGAATACACAGAACTATACAAAAAAGATCTTCACGACCCAGATAATTACGATGGTGTGATCACCAACCTACAGCCAGACATCCTGGAATGTGAAGTCAAGTGGGCCTTAGGAAGCATCACTACAAAGCTAGTGGAGGTAATGGAATTCCAGTTGAGCTATTCCAAATCCTAAAAGATGATGCTGCTAAAGTGCTGCACTCAATATGTCAGCAAATTTGGAAAATTCAGCCGTGGCCACAGGACTGGAAAAGGTCAGTTTTCACTCCAGTCCTAAATAAAGGCAGTGCCAAAGAATGCTCAAACTACTGCAATATTGCACTCATCTCACAGGCTAGCAAAGTAATGCTCAAAATTCCCCAAGACAGGCTTCAGCAATACGTGAACCATGAACCTCCATATGTTCAAGCTGGTTTCAGAAAAGGAAGAGGAGCCAGAGATCAAACTGCCAATAGCTGCTGGATCATCAAAAAAGCAAGAGAGTTCCAGAAAAACATCTATTTCTGCTTTATTGACTATGCCAAAGCCTTTATAGATCACAATAAATTGTGGAAAATTCTGAAAGAGAGGGAATACTAGACCACCTGACCTGCCTCTTGAAAAACATGTATGCAGATCAGGAAGCAACAGCTAGAACTGGACATGGAACTACAAACTGGTTCCAAATAGGAAAAGGAGTACATCAAGGCTGTATATTGTCACCCTGCTTATTTAACTTATATGCAGAGCACATCATGAGAAACGCTGTGCTGGAGGAAGCCAAGCCGGAATCAAGATTGCTGGGAGAAATATCAATAACCACAGATATGCAGATGACACCACCCTTATGGCAGAAAGTGAAGAGGAACTAAAGAGCCTCTTGATGAAAGTGAAAGAGGAGAGTGAAAAAGTTGGCTTAAAACTCAACATTCAGAAAACTAAGATCATGGCATCTGGTCCCATCACTTCATGGCAAATAGATGGGGAAACAGTGGAAACAGTGAAAGACTTTATTTTTGTGGGCTCCAAAATCACTGCAGATGGTGATTGCAGCCACGAAATTAAAAGACGCTTACTCCTTGCAAGGAAAGTTATGACCAACCTAGATAACATATTAAAAAGCAGAGACATTACTTTGCCAACAGAGGTCTGTCTAGTCAAGGCTATGGTTTTTCCAGTGGTCATGTATGGATGTGAGAGTTGGACTGTGAAGAAAGTTGAGCGCTGAAGAATTGATGCTTTTGAACTGTGGTGTTGGAGAAAACTCTTGAGAGTCCCTTGGACTGCAAGGAGATCCAACCAGTCCATCCTAAAGGAGATCAGTTCTGGGTGTTCATTGGAAGATCTGATGTTGAAGCTGAAACGCCAATACTTTGGCCACCTGATGCGAAGAGCTGATTCATTTGAAAAGACCCTGATGCTGGGTAAGATTGAGGGCAGGAGGAGAAGGGGACGACAGGATGAGATGGTTGGATGGCATCACCAACTCAATGGACATGAGTCTGGGTGGGCTCCAGGAGTTGATGTTGCACAGGAGGCCTGGCATGCTGCAGTTCATGGGGAAGCAAAGAGTCGGACATCACTGAGTGACTGAGCTGAACTGAATAAATCACTAGCAAAAAACATAAAGCAAGAAATGCACATTAAACTGAACTATAGCATAATTACATTTGAGAAGGCATCTCAAAATCAAACAACAAAGATCAAAAATGCAAAACCGCAATTACTTTTGGACCATGCTAATACTGTTGAGAGTCCCTTAGACAGCAAGGAGATCCATCAGTCAATCCTAAAGGAAATCAACCCTGAATATTCTTTGGAAGGACTGATGTTGAAGCTGAAGCTCCAATACTCTGGTCACCTGACGTGAAGAGCTGACTCACTGGAAAAGACCCTGATGCTGGGAAAGGCTGAGCACAGGAAGAGAAGGGGGTGATAGAGGATAAGGTAATTCGATGGCATCATCACTCAATGGAGATGAACTTGAGCAAATTCTGAGAGACAGTGAAGGACAGGGAAGCCTGGCATGCTGCAGTCCATGGGATAGCAAAGAGTCAGACATGACTGAGCAACTGAACAACAACAATAATACTTTGCAGCAACCTAATATTACAACTGGATGAAGTACAAGCTGGAATCAAGACTGACGGGAGAAATATCAATAACCTCGGATATGCAGATGACATCATGGCAGAAAGTGAAGAGGAACTAAAGATCCTCTTGATGAAAGTGAAAGAGGAGAGTGAAAAAGATGGCTTAAAACTCAACACTCAAAAAACTAAGATTATGGTATCTGGTCCCATCATTTCATGGCAAATAGATGGGGAAACAATTGAAAAAGTGATAGACTTTATTTTTGGGGGCTCCAAAATCACTGCAGATGGTGACTGCTACCATGAAATTAAAAGACACTTGCCCCTTGCAAGAGAAGCTATGACCAACCTAGATAGCATATTAAAAAGCAGAGACACATACACCCACACAAAAAAAAGCAGAAACACTACTTCGCTGACAAAGATCCGTCTAGTCGAAGCTATGGTTTTTCCACTAGTCATGTATGTATGTGAGTTGGACCATAGAGAAAGCTGAGCACCAAAGAATTGATGCTTTTGAAACTGTGGTGTTGCAGAAGACTCTTGAGAGTCCCTTGGAATGCAAGGAGATCCAACCAGTCTATCCTAAAGGAAATCAGTCCTGAATATTCATTGGAAGGACAGGTGTTGAAGCTGAAACTCCAATACTTCAGCCACCTGATGCGAAGAACTGACTCATTTGAAAAGACCCTGATGCTAGGAAAGGTTGAGGTTGGGAGAAGAAGCGAACGATAGAGGATGAGACGATTGGATGGTAACACCGACTCGATGGACATAAGTTTGAGTAAGCCTGGGGAGTCGGTAATGGACAGGAAGCCTGGCTTGCTGCAGTCTATTGGGTTGCAAAGAGTCAGACATGACTGAGTGACTAAACTGAACTGAATATTACTACACAAATGTAACTTAAAATAACTGAGAATACTAGACTCTAGGGCAAGGATGGTGTCAAT